CTGCGCCAGATAGGATAGCAACTCTGGTTCTTCGTTGATGATGATGGGACTACTTCAGCATTGTCAATTATGAACTCTTGGTGTGTTCTTATTTGTTGAATCTCGTGTTGCAATTCTGCTTTTGGTTCGAGGTCAAGACTATCTGGACTCATATGTATGATGTTGTTTGAGTGCTGAAGTTCGCTATTGCTCAACTTCCTTGCAAATCTGCAACTGTATGAGATCCAGGCCATTGACTGCAGGTCAATCTGGGTCATCGTAGCCGAGAGACCAGAGGCTGGTCAACAGGAGTCGACACTATATGTTGACCCAGCCCTTGCTGACTGACATCCAGTCTTGCACTTGCTGCTTGACGCTGGCTCAACGCTGGCTCGACGCTGGCTGGATGCTGGCTTGATATTGGACGATGACGCGAGACTGCTACTGCTAAGCGATGGCGCCATTCTGTGTCTTCGGCGCCAGCTCTCTTCTTGATTATGCTAACGTGGCTCTCGCCGCACTGTCTACGACATTGATGGGATATTGGCGAGAAGGAGGATCACGGCTCTGAGATTGGTCGAGTGAAGAAAGGAGTGCTTACCTGTTCACGATCGTGTCGACATGGCGCTCTGCTGTTGTCTTCAGAAGGAGTCTGCGCTGTGTGCGCCATGTTGAGATCTGTTCGATGTCAGTGTATGTTGGAGGAAACTGTCTAGTGACATGGCGAGTATGAGATGCCCGAAGGAGGAGTGGGCCAGTAAGCCATGTTCGATCAGCAGGAAACCACAAAAAAGTACGGCCGCTCGCCTTAGCCAGCGACCGCCGAGCTGTTTGGGATCCTCAAAGACTTTACGCAACGCATCTCACTTGTTTCATTAATGAGACGGAAAGAAAGAAAGCGGCAAGCCACTACCACAATTCCTACACTCTCATTTTCTAGATTCAGTGCCATTCCTTTAACACCACTGGAAAATTTGACCATTTCTCCAGCTTGAATCTTGTTCAATCCATAAACACGTGCAATTCCATCTCCTACCGAAACCACTCGACCGATTTCATCCACTTGTAATTTGGTGTAATAATTTGTAATTCTTTGTTCTAATAAAGTAGATAGTTCCGCTCCAGCAAATTTGTTCATAAATTTCATGCTCTCTTCTCACCCRGGATTACATTTYTTTTTSATTAGTTCTATCCATCTCCAGGGACCCAAGGACTCRAAAAATCAAAATAAYGAAATTCTTGAGTCATTTCAATAGGCTCAGAAATCACACGTTTCTCTGAATCATCGTATCATACTTCCACATATCCACTTAAGGGAAAGTCTTTTCGTAACGGATGACCCTCAAAACCATAATCTGTTAATATACGACGTAAATCAGGATGGTTGGAAAAATACACACCAAACATATCCCATACTTCTCGTTCCCACCAACCAGCTGCCGGAAATATTTTGACCACTGAACAGATGGGAGTTATTTCATCTACACGTGTATGTACACGAAGACATGAGTTATACTGAATACTCAGTCCTGGCCTAAATCCATAAGAGAGGTTCAAAACGGGGTTCCCATTCAGGTTCTAGAACCATTTTAGCTAATGCCTGTTTATCTCGATCCGCAAGAAAAATGAAGTGGTTCCGTCCCGTCCAAGTTTGGCCATCGAACTTCAGTGTTCGAACTAATTCCATTTTTCCTCTCGTCGAAGAGTTGTCCATAGTGACACGTCGAACGACTAACAATCTGGYGTGTAAACTTTGTGCCAGTCTTGTCTGAAGTGCACACATCTTACCATAATTCTTTGAAAGAGAGGCCTTGTAAATCCTGGTCTGCAATCTGAAGACAAAACTCTCGACTGAAGTCCAAGGAATTTTGCCCCAGTAATCCGTTTGAACGTTTAAATACATTCTACTCATATTTCAGAGGGAGATGTATCTGCGGAAGCTGACGGTTACTTTCACTTCCAGCCTCTCAGTCTAATCTCCCACTCATCACTCTCTTCTCCAGTTACTTGACATTGGACTCTTGATTACTTGTACGACTGGAGACATTGAAACTGTGCTGAGACATTCTGTACTTCGACATTGTTGAGCTTTCCTCCTCACTGGGTTCATTGCATGTAGCCCAGACAACATACAATTTAAAAACTGGGTGGAAGCAGGCCTTACATGTCTCCAAGGAAATCACGCGACCAGTTCTGCTGGAAAACACAACAAGCAATACGGACGCGGACGGAGAAAGAAGTGGAGCGATCGGCATAAGCACCTGGCCAGGAAGTCAGAAGGCAGGAGGCTGAGGGCGAGGCATACAGACAGGGAAAGGGAAAACACTTCCCCAGGGATAAGACATACAGCAGACCAATTGCAAGGACTTCAGGTGATAACAGCGGACGGCCCATCGCGGAACCGAAATTCCTCAATAAAGACGGGGAAAGGAATGAGACACCAGACCTTGGAACATCAATTTTCCACCCGATCCGCCAACAGGTCTTCCAATCCACCAAGGAATCAGGCAGCCCGAATGACTGATAGGAGCAGCACAAAAGCAACATGGTTGAGAGATCCAGGAATATCAGCTCCTCAGGAGGAACAGGAGTGGACCAGGGGTAATCCTTCCTCCCCAGGAAGTGATCAATGCCACCGTCTAAGGGTCCTCTGGCCATAACAGAGGGATGCAGCGAGTGCGTAAATTATGTAAGGGACACTGGACGCTGGACCCTGCTTGCAGTAAATGAAAAATCGGTGGTTTTGTTGGGAAAAAAAGGAAGGAAACTGTTATGATCCTGCCTCATTCATAATGCACAGCTCAACTTTGAGACAACGCAACACTTGCTGAACTAGAGAAGAAGTGAAAAGAAGCAACAAGCAAAATAGAATGAAGAAGCCTTAAATAAGTTAGAAGAAGAAGAAATTCAGAATTTTGAACCAATATCATCTCCCTCTCTTCTCTTACAACTTCATCTTCATCAACCTCCTCCTCCTCTTCCAATAATCAATTAAACACTACAGTAAATCAAGGAATGAACAGGAATCATGTTCGAGTAATGCCCGTCACTTGCAGCACCCAAAGAGGTTCCATTTCAGCCTCACTTTTCTCTCTCTCCTCTCTTGGTTGCGAACTAGCTATGGAGGAACATCCCTGTAACCAGTCGATGTTCAGAGGACAGCGCGACTACTAACATGCCTCTCATAACTCGTGCTGCCATAGCCACACTCCCACATGAAGTCCAAGATCAGCCAGTACCCACAGAGGCATCTTCTACAAGCAGAGCCAGCCAAGGAAGCAATGGAGATTAACTATAGCCAAGGGTAAGTCTCCCATGCCGGTTGACTCCTCCTTCATCTCCCTCAACCTCCACTCTCTTCCTCCTCCCTTCTCCATCGGCAAGCTTGAGGTATTTCTCCCTCTATGCCCATAGTCTAGGCCTACACCCCTCTACTACTACTACTACTACTACTACTACTACTATTCCACAGCCATGCTGCTGCTCCTCGTAACCCTCCAGCTCCCCCGTGTCAGCAAGAGCTCCGCCTAACTCATCCTCTGGGTGGAGCAGCAGCATGACTGCAGGGCCAAGATGCCGGCCTGTGCATTGTACCAAATAATCTAGTCTGGATATGCGGCCTCAAACTTTTGCCTGGCCGTGCGTGCCACTGGCTCTACCGTTGCACTGGGCCTACTGGAAGTCCCTGCCTTTTGGCAGAAACATCATCTGCATTCCAACCTCAGGGCCCGAACCTAACGGGAAATGTACCATGTGCGGGCCCTAAATACTCATGACCTCTTCTAGAAAAAAAAAACAAGAAGACCTTTCTAAGCCTACCAGACTCACTTGGGGCTATTCCAGTTGCTGGAAAATCCTCACCGGGTAGTAGCCAAAGTATACTTTTGTCCTTGCCTGTCCTAGCCTTTCTACAAAGTCTGTCTGCTGTCGAATTTCAGCTCTACCCCTGTAGTTCTGCCTATTTCCATTCTACCCTCGTTGGGCCCAAAGAACACATCACAAGAACAGAGATAGTTGAACTTAGTTCACAGCATGGCAATCATCATACAGAGACCTGGAAACACACAGGCAAACAGCAGTCACACTCAGCACGCGGAAATCTCAGCAAATCAAGCCAACAAACAGCAATACTTAGAAATCTGCAGGAAAGACGAGCAAGAATGAAGCAGCTTCTGAAATGTCAAACAGTTGCACCATCGAGTGTGTTTCAAGTCCTCTTTCTACTGAAGAAAACGAAACAAAAATGTTTTGACTTGATTGTCGTTGTGTCGATCAAGTCCACCCGTCCTCTTGTACCCACGAGTGATTCTGTTCATGCCTACAAGGCCAGATACGGGTGTATAGATCCCAACATTTTAGAGGCATAGAGGGAAATGGTGGTACGGTAAACAGTACATGTAAGTTGATGCAACCCTATCCACATAGATTCAATACTGTTAGGGGCCTACCCACTTAAACCACCAGTACTTGGCCCAGCTATAGGCCGCAGGAAAAAAACTAGAGTAGAAACTGAAACGGTATTCACCTGTTTGCAGTAGCCGACGCAGATCCCAGGGCTCAAACCCTAGTCATCACCTTACCTGTGTACAGTATTTGTGTTGACCCCGAGAGTTGAACCCGTGACCTGTGTATTTGTAACAGTTGGTAGACTGTAGTAGGGTCCGTAGGTAGTAGGGGTTCGATCTGTAGACCTGTCGTGTAGGAGTCTTAGCAAGTTCTAGAAGTCCTAACTTTAGCTCCTCCGAAAGGTCAAGGTCGTACCCGTGCTGAGTCAGAAGTCCCAGTCCCAGTCAGTCCTAGTCCAGTCAAGCAAGTTCCGCATGGGACTGTGTGCACTACGGGCATGGGAAAGGGCCAGACCAACGAGCCACAGAAGTATAAATCAAAGGGCAGCGCCCAGCCATTCATTCATTCCCGCGTAAGCCATGCGGAAGCGCTGCCACAGCGACTTGTGCAAGGTGGTCTGCAGTGAGCCCGAGGACGAAGTGGGCGAGAGAGAAGGAGCTTAGCCATAGCGATAGGTTAGCAGCGGCCATAGCCGCCATAGCTGTAGATAGAGTTCAGCGTGTGAGTGTGTGAGTGTGCAGTGTATGCCTGTGGGATATCCAGGGTGATCCGGTGTCTGCGAACAGAGAGTTGTATGGACGCTGTGTTGCCATAGCCATTGGAAGTGAACTTGTACCTGAACTGCGTTCTTGGTTACCATATCTCTGAGTTTTGAGTGGGCGCTTGTCACCAGTTTGGTGCGCAACCTGTTTGCATGCATGAGAAGTGTGAAAGATAGCGAGTCTGATTGCAAAATGTTTGTAATCAGATGAATTTGGGCGCTCCTGTAGTCGTCCGTGCGTTTCCTAAAATTGTGGCTTGTTCACGAGCACAACTTTACGGAAGTACTGGTGGTTTAAACCACCACTCGCCGCACTTGGCCAATCGTTTCACATTACCAGCATAGCCTGCACATGTGAAATATCCATCCCTAAACAGCACGAAGCTAGCCATTAATGTCACAGGTCTGTGCTTCCTAAGCACAAACCTCGCACTCTGGGGCCTGACCCATAATCCTCAGCAGCATGACCTCATGCGCCAGTAACGTGGAGCCTGTCCCTTGGCACAGTGAAATAATGCTGGGCAATCTCAGTGCAGTGCTGTGACACACCAATCTTTCTCACTATAGTCAAGGAGTGTTGAACAAGGCTACTGCAAGCGCATTTTCGACACTTTGAAAAAGTTGTCACGCAAAGCTTTAGATACAGCACAACATATTACAGCAGGTTCCAGATGAAAGTAGAACAAGAGAAGCTGGTTACAAGACACTGGTCGCAGAGGTTATGTC